CCAGTGCTTGTATTATAATATATTTAATTAGCTAATTTAGATCGATCTGAGTACGTATTCACGACACTTTACACTTTACCATTTATTTTAAACCTTAATCTTATTCTTTTTTTTTCTTTACTAGAATATACTATCTTTTATCTAATTATTAATATATCATATTTGTCTATCTATATAACCAAGCCATTTAACGAAAATTTGAAACTTATATTAAAATTATATCAATTTCATAATTTTATTTTGCTATTTCTAATTTGTTTTTATATATAAAAAGTTATAAAAATCGAATGCTATAATATTGCTTAAATTGATAATAATAAAATCGAATTTATTGTTGGTCTCTGAATTAGTCTTTCTAATTATTACATAAAAATTATATAATTGCCTTTATTAAGTCATATCTCGTTCATCATATTGGCCTGTGCTAGTTACGTAATTTCTATTACAAAATTAAGATGAGTGACTTAAAGAAAAAATCAGATATCTGGCTTTTATTATATTATTTATTAGTAAGCAATAAATAATAAACTTAAATGCCCGATATTCAATTTTCTCTTGCGTCATTTATGTAAAAGAAAGAATATTGTAATTAACAATGAATTATTTTTCAAAATTTTATGCCGAAAGTCAATAGTATTACGTATTATATTATTAAATTTTTTTCAAATAAAAAGACATACTTGTTCTTTATATTTTTATACTTATCTTTATACTCCAACTTGTGTTTCATTAATGGAAGATTTAACATCAACCTATCTGGATAATTCTACTTCAAGTAACTCATTAGACGATAATATAACAGAATCAAGTACCAATACTGAATATATTACATCAAAATATTGGGATGAAGTATTGCATGAAGATAAACTTGTTCGTCAATGCAAGAATTGCAAGAAGCAGCGATTTTCAATTAATACAAGCAAATCACATTTAAAAAAACATACTGCTAAATGTACAACTCAAAATATAAAATTTAACTTCGTTAAACCCATTACAAAAGAGGATGTAGATAATTCTATAATTGATCTAGTTGTTGGTACTGGAATTTCTTTTAATATTCTAAATAATCCATTATTTCATAGAATGGTAAATAAGCTTCATTATGTAACTGATACATATAAAGTTCCTCATCCAACAACAATATCCCATCATATTTCAGAAAGCATTTATGAAATTAGATTTAATTTTATTAAAGATGTTATGGCAAAAATGCCAGGTCGAATTTCATTAACATGTGATGGCTGGCATTCAACAGTCTATCGATGTCACTATACAGCTGTTACAGGTTCTTGGATAAGTGATAACTGGAATATTATTAATATCTTACTAAGTTTTCAAAAATCTGGTCAGACAGCGAAAGATATTAAATCAGTAATAATCGATACTTTAAATAATTATAATATTAAAGATAAGTTTTTTTCAATTACCATGGATAACACAACAA